AAAAAAAAAAAAAAAAAAAAACCTCTAAATATATAGTTTCACGAACTTTTGTAATTTTCTATCTCTCTCTCTCTTTCTCACATAAGGTCACTACGTTATGTCTACTTTTTTGAATGTTTTTATATATTAAAGCGTTAATAAAAGGTGTTAAAACCTTTTTTTTTTTTTTTTTAAATTTCAGGTATCGTAATATTTTTTTAAAAATAAAATTCATTTAATTTTATGTTAATAGAAGATATACCTCGCTAATTTAAAAAAAAAAAAAATTTCTTCTGCTTTAACTTCACACACGGGCGCCGCCATTTTGTTTTTGATTCGAACGACCTATCCTGCTGTATTTTTTCAAAATATTTTTAAATAAAAATAATAATAATAATTTAAAATTTCACATTTCATTGAATTTCTCCCTTCCTTTCCTCCCTTTAACTCTTCCCCCTACCCCTCCCCCTACCGAAAAAAACCTTTTTTTTTTTAATAACCTCCAGTTATTTTGTTGTTTGTATCCCCCATTTTTTTTTTTCAAAGTTGTCTTCACAACAACGCACAAACTTTTTTTTTAAATAAATGCTTAGTTTTATAAGCTTAAAGGTGTTAATTGCCCAAAGGGAAAAAAAAACACGTTTGTTTGAAAATTCCGTTTTTTTTTTTTTATATGCGGCCTTTGATATTTTAAAATTTACCGACAATTAATTAGATACTAAGTCATCCACAAAAAAATTTTTTTTTGTACATACACGTACATAATTTTTTTATTGATTTTTTTTTTTTTTTTAAATAACTATTTATAGTTATTTAATTGTTAATAAGTAAGCGTACTCTTTAAACCAATCGTTTCCCCCTTCCCCACTCCCCCCACCCGAAACACGAAGTCATCATCATTTAATTTGTATTTAAAAAAAAAAAAAATCTAAAATTAATTTTTATTACTCGATATGTGAAAATAATTAATAATAATAATAATTAATAAACGTTTACCCGAATGTGAGTAATAAAACCGGAAATGAGAAATGTTTAAAATCGTCTGTTTGTTTACGTTTGTCACGTGGTCACTCGGTAATATTTAAAAATTTTTTAACGTTTCGAGTATTTAAATCGAAAAAGAAAAATCCTAATAAAATCATTAATTAATTAATTTGATTGATTTTTTTTCAATGACGTCACACTATTATTATTATTATCACCATTT